CCCGGCCATGGCCTCCTCCAAGTCCCTGGCCCGCTTCTGGGAGTGGGGCAGAAACATCGTCTGCGTGGGGCGCAACTACGCGGAGCACGCCAAGGAGATGGGCAGCGCGCTGCCCCGGGAGCCCCTCTTCTTCCTCAAGCCTTCCTCGGCCTACGTGCGCGAAGGCTCGCCCATCCTGCGGCCCTACTACTGCAGCAACCTGCACCACGAAGTGGAGCTGGGGGTGGTGATCGGGAAGAGAGCCCAGGCCGTGTCCCAGGAGGCCGCCATGGAGCACGTGGCAGGCTATGCCCTGTGCTTGGACATGACCGCCAGGGACACGCAGGAAGAGTGCAAAAAGAAGGGTCTGCCCTGGACCTTGGCCAAGGGTTTCAGTACATCGTGCCCTGTCAGTGACTTCGTGCCCAAGGACAGGATCCCAGACCCTCACCAGCTGAAGATCTGGCTCAAGGTGAATGGAAAGCTGAGGCAGGAGGGGGAGACCTCCTCTATGATCTTCTCCATCCCCTACCTGATCAGTTACATCAGTGAAATTGTCACCCTGGAAGAAGGAGACTTGATTCTGACAGGGTCTCCCAAAGGAGTTGGGTCCCTGCAGGTAAACGATGAGATAGAGGCTGGGATAAGCGACATCCTGTCCATGCGGTTTAAGGTGGCACAGCAAACACGTCGATCCTAGCCGAGAGCCTGGCTGTGACCCTGCTCTGCACAGGAAGAGGCGCTTTTGGAAATGGCTAGTGAATGAAGAGACACGCAGGCACATCTGCTGCCCTGGATGTTAAGCGCTTCTGTGGCCTAAGCATCCAGTTGACTGCCAGGCATCAAAAACATGTAGCCCATAAGCTCTGAAGGCCTTTGACTGAAACACCCCCCTTCCCCACAGAGGCTTCAGGCTCCTCTGAAGCAGTGAACCTCCAGAGGAAGTTGACTGCTTGGCTGAGGTCAGGCCAGGAGTCCAGCTCAGCTTGGGGGAAGCTGGTTAATATCTAAACTTTAACTGGGAACTTTCTGTGCAGACAGTGTGCCATACAGCTGTGAAGGGAGCTGGAGAAATGAAAATAGGGTAGAAAATGCAGCGGTGGGGCTGGCTGTCACTGTTTCCCCTTCCATTCTATTGATATTTTGAGCTTTGCCATTGTATCACCTTAAAATAAGAATAAAACATTAAAATGGTAATGTACACAAAGTGCTCTGGGGCCCTCGTAAGGACTGCAGCTGTCCATGCAGTGCTGTGCCGCATCCGTAGTTGGAAAACATGCATGTCTTGGCTCACCAGTACATCTCTGAAAGTCAGGCTGACTAATACGGGGCCTTAGGGTTCCCCACACACCCAGTTCCCACCACAGGGGCACAGAAGTAGCAAGAAAGGGTGCAAGGGAAAATAAAAGCTTAACCCAAAGACGAATTCCCCCAGGAGGGCAGTTTCAGAGAACAGCATGACTTGTGCACTTGGAGTTTGCACCTGTGTGTCGCAGCGACTGGCAAGGTGGGGTCCTTCCATATTGGGCAGCTGCAAAGGCCCTCTTGGGGGTGATCAGCAGCAGTGGAATGTGCTGTGTTCCTGGGTGCTGGAGACCAGCGCTAACTCACCGTCATCATTAGAAAGCCGGAATGAGAAAGAACTGGAATGAAACAGTAAACCCTGTGGGAAAGGTGTCTTTTCAAGTGCTGTACAGGTTCTTACCGTTACAGTGAGCAAACCATAAGACGGTAGAGCATCCAGTGGTTTTAACTAGGATCGCTTTAGTTTGCCATCATTTTGAAAATTACACTTGCAGAGCTTTTTCAACTGATTCACTTGCTGTGGGCGGGGGGGCTAGTTTTGGTGGTTTCATTTCCAAGACTTAGGATTGCATTTTGCAAATATATACTCCAGGGGACTGTCCTTAAAAGAAAAATCTAGCTACTTTTCAATTTTTTTTTCTTCTGAAAGCATCCTTATGCACAAGAGTTGTCAAGGTCTATTGTGTGTCAGGGGAGAAGACCACTCGAAAGAGCTAAAATTTAGGATGTAATTTAAAGGGCTATTCATATACAAATTTAGCAAATTAATCTCATACATGAATGACTGAGTTATAACATATGTAAGTAGATAACATTTCTTTTGCTGATGGTTACATTAGCTTTAGGCCACTATCCTACAAACCCCAGATATGCATTGACCAAAACCCCAACTGACCCACAGGGATTATTAGCCTTACCCACCTCTGTAGTTGCAGGATTAGAACCCTAAAATTTAATTACAGGAGATGTATGCTTATGAATAGAAATATTTCTACAGGCTGACTTACTAAAAAAAAAAAAAAACCCTTCCTCTCTTTTCCATGGGTGTAAGAGGAGGGCATGAATTAATCTAGCAAAATGTCATTGTGAACAGAAACCATCTTTGCACTCTTAGTCGTGGATGGGAAAAGGGTACACCAGGGAACAAAACTGCTCCACTGCAAACACAGCTGTGCAGCAAACCAGTGTAACTGGAATAGAAGACCAAAAGGAGAGCAGCACACGTGGGCTCTGGATTAGGATGGCAGCAGTTTACAGAAATAAACGCTGCTTCTGGGTGCAGGGGTGTTGCATGCAACAGCTTTCTATCTGAGAACACACACTGTGCCCTTCTGCTGTTCTTCCTTAGCAAAACTTCTCTTTTCAGAGTTAACCAATAAAACCCGCACACGGTACACACTGCTTCTTACTAGAGGAAAAACACCTACTCCATGACACAGGGAGGCAGATGGCCTTGCTTGCTATATGGCTCATATTGTCAAATTTGGGTTGAAAACTCTTCACAGAGCATGTCAAGGAGATGTAACTTCTATAAGAGGGAATAAGAGGGCCAAGTGAGGGAAAGCAGCAAGGTATCTCTCGCTCACTTGTAATAAATCTGTTGGCCATATATCATAGCTGAGCTGGAGGGCTCACAGAGCTCCACTGAGGGAAAACAAGCACTGGGGAATGTTGCTGTGTTTTCCCCAGAGGAGTGATTATCATCTCTGGCCTGGGAACAGAGAGCATCTGTGGGCCAGCAACCATGGAGAGTAACTTTTGGCTGAAAAAACCAACATTAATTAAAATTGGGAGCTAAAACTCACCCATGCTGTATAAAATCAAAGATGTATGTGTAACAGTAAATCAAGAATTACAGCTTCAGAAAGAATATCTCTCCTTGGGGTATTCTGCAATAAAAAGATGTTTGCTTTTTAGATTAGTTTCATGATTCCTTCATGCATTTTTCAAATGTACAAATTAAATGAGAATTGCTTTCCTTCCCACTCCAAGGGGTGTAATGCAGCAGGAAGTACACCAGATGCCTGGCAGATTTCTTTTTTTCTAAAAAAGCTGAGCTTTAAATATGCTTCTAAAAGTAAAATAATACAAAAGATCAAGAATAAAGAAGCGCATTGGTAAAGATCATCAGTAAACTTATCTTTACTTTTACAGATTTAAATATATTTTAACAAAATATAACCGCAGCATTTAACATTATTTATACAATGCAATGGAACAGTTGAAGATTTTAAATATTTCCAGCTGTTAAAAAGCCATGCTGTTTAACTTTCTTCCCTGTTTCCAAACTCCAGCTGATTCAACTCTACCAGTTTGCATGACAGGGAGTCCTCTTTCAATTCAAAGGCGTGACAAAGTAAGTTGTAAAATAAAATTTTAAAAAACTTCCCCTCACCACAAACATCAAAACTTACCATTTTCAAAGGTTGCACTGAGTTGTCTAACAAAAACAGATGGATTATTTTGTTACATGCTTGTAGGCACCAAAGTTAAATGCTTCCATTTATTGGAGCCGGATCTTAATAACCGCTAGGAAAAAAGTTTTGTTTTAAAAAAATACTTTTGAAGAGCATACACAGAAGAAATTACTGTAGCCCAAAAACAAGCACCTCCGTGCAAGAACAGCAAGGTCCAGCATGCTGTAAATCATATGATAAAAGACAGCAGAATATCTTGCATAAGAAAAATAGAAGATTTTCTATCAATCCATTTCTCCAGCTGCATGCATCTGTAGTACATCACTGCAAACCCTTACACCTGCGCATGGTATTGATCCTGCAAACATGTATCTATTTCAGCTCCCTATAGTGTGACTTAAGCCAATGGCTTAAAGCACATGCAAAAGTTTTTTGTGTGATGAGGCTTCGTAATCACTACATGCTCTGAATATAATTCAGATTTTATCTAAAGGCAGGCTAAAAAACTGAGGCCCACTAAAACAAACAGCCATTAAATCTGAACATCAGTGTGAAAGCTGTGCTCTGAATTTGGTGTGCAACTCCCTGACAAGCAGGGCTGGGCAGAGAAATTTTGGGTGAATGATTCTGGGAGAGAAAGGATTAAATTCACTTTCTGCACTGTCTTCTTTACATTGTGCTCGGTCAAACATTTCTGTCTACTGCAACAGCAACAGTTTGGTCTTAAGCACTGGCTATTGATTGCAAAGCTGAGCTGTGATCAAAATTACTGAAAACATTCACTTCAACATTTTCCAGCTGTAACAGCTAATATTCTAAAGCTGTTTATTGCTGCAACAGCAGAGATGGAATGACCCACCATTTGCAATATGCATTTGTACATTTAATTCCATGTTCCTACTCCCACTCAAAAGAGTAAGGGGCTGCAATTATTGGTGTTTTGCTTGTCAAAATTCACTGTTTTGGTAGCTGTCTCTCTTTGCCATGGTGCTTTAATGGGTAGGTAGCATACCAGGGATAACAGAGTTTCTTAAGGTGTTCTACCCCCACAAATACTTTGCAACGGAAGGGCAGCAACATCTTCCCACAATTTGAAATTGGCCAAGTCCTAATACGCTCAAAAGGTGGGGACTGGTGTATGTAGGAAATACACCAACTGCAGGGGAAGCTAAAGGCAGAAATAGATTAAAAAAAAGAAAAAAAAAAAGAATACATACCTGGGGAAGAGCAACATGTACATACAGGGGTTCTTTATGTTCAGGTAAGAACAACAATCCTGGTGAAGAAAAGCCCTTTCTTCTCTGCTACCTTACCTTGATCATTTGGCTGCCACAGGTCCCTTGGTAACTGATTACTCTGTTCCAGTAAGCCTTAGTCCCCCCCCTAAAGAAAAGCAGCCTTGCAGAAATCATGGCTATTTCCTTGCCTCTGCAGATGCCAAAAGTTCTGTGTTTGGACTTGCTGATGTACACCACAAACACAGGCAGTACTTGAAAGTGGGTCTTTATTTTCTGAAGTAACACAGACGTATCAAGGCAGTCAAAAACACAGAAGCTCAAGAGATGTCTTGTACTACTCGTTATTTCTGAATTTTTCATATATATTCTAAACTGAATGAAAAAAGCTTCCCTCCCAGCTCTAAAGGATTTATTTCAGTAGGATTAACTTTTCTTAAACTAAGGCCCTAGTAAGGTTTTTAAATTACAATCATCTAAAAAAGATCGACACAGAAGCCCCCTTATGGGCATTAGTAATGTATATTCCTTCTTTATCATCAGAACATACTTAGAATGCTGTTGTCATTGTATTCTGCTATCTCTAACAATGTAGTGAAGAAATGGCCGGTTTTCCAGCCTGTTATCAAGCCATATAGTGTAATCTTTTTTCTTTTTGCAACAAGCTCTGACTTGCCTCTATGGGGTCTGCCAGTTTGCATGAAAGCACATTCACTTTCAATCCAGTTCTCCAACTGGGTGACAAAGTAAGCTGTAAAAATAATTAAAGTTCTTTGTTTTCATTGCTATAAAGCACTT